AAAATGGCAAGTAGAAAGGCTCACTTCTACTTGCCATTTAGAAAGGGTTAGAAAGAATGAGGTTAACCTTTGCTTTATTTCCAATCTCCTTTTCTTGACTTGGACTTCATAAAAAGTAGCTTTGGATTCGAAGCCATATGTGTTAAAACAAAATTCTTTCTGTTTAAGTGCAATTATGCAAAAAGGTTCAAGATTAATCGATTTAATGGCTTTAAATATCTGGGTGTTGTACTAAGGTTTAAGTCAGAGGTCTTCAAACTTGGCAACTTTAAGACTTGTGGACTTCAACACCCAGATAGCTGGCTGGAGAATTCTGGAAGTTGAAGTCCACAAGTCTTAAAGTTGCCAAGTTTGGGGACCCCTGGTTTAAGTAGAAAGAGGTTCCAGCTGAAAATATACCATGTATAGCATAGAGATGCATGGTAGCTCTTCTTTCTTTCTTTCTTTCTTTTTCTCTTTCTTTCTTTCTTTCCTTCCTTCCTTCCTTCCTTTCTCTTAAAAGGAAAAAGAAAGAGGGAGGGATGGGAGAAAGAGAGAAAGGAAGGGGGAAAAAGGGAAGGGAAAAGAATGTGAATGAGATATGGATGGATGGATAGAGGGAGGGAGGGAGGGAGGGAGGGAAAGAAAAAGGAGAGGAAGGAAGGACCACAAACCCTGGCACTAGACGCAGCTTCAGAGGATGCTTTGAAACAGCACGGCAATCCAGGGCTGGAAGGAACCTCAGAGGTCATCTAATCCAACTCCGCTCCAAGAGCATTGTTAAAATGAGTTTCTATCTTTTGACCCAGCCAGTCACATGACCAAGCCACACCCAGTTGGTCATGTGACCACCAAACCATGCTCACCCAGTCACATGACCACCAAGCCACACCCAGCCAGCAAACAATGCCCAACCTGTCAAATGACTACCAAGCCACACCCACAAATTAGGCCATGCCTACAGAACCAGTTGTTAAGAAATTTGAATCCCACTCCTCCTTGATGGGCGTGGCATGGCTTGGTGAGCATGGTAGTGGAAGGACACTGTAAAATCTCCATTCCCTCCCCACCCCACTAACCTGCTTTCCAGCTCTGTTCTCCTGTGCAGGGCAACAAAAGAAGACCCAGCCAAGCAGCTGGGACTCAGGAGGCAGAGAGTAGATAGGGCAGGGCCAGTCAGAGGTGGTATACTGAACTACAAAAAAATTCCGCCACCTGAAAAATTCCGCTACTCAAAATTTCTGCTACCAGTTCTCCAGAACCGGTCAGAACCTGCTGAATACCACCTCTGTCTGAAGGTGTATATGAACCACCGTTGATGTGCAAACTGACTACAGCGGAAATAAAGAAGTTCATTGACAAACCAATGCAAGTACCATAGTGGCCCTGTCATATCCAATCAATAGACAGATGTGTGAAAGAGGTAACCGAGGCAGCAAGCAGAGTGTATACATGTAAGAAACATGGTATCAGAGGCCAAGAAGCAAGTCGGGGACTGATGTCGAAAAACAAATCAAAACAAGACTTGATGAAACTCGCTTAAACATTGTTGTAACTCAGATAATTGCTTTCTGGGGTTAGTTTATGATTGCATGAATTTTTTGCTTAGCTAGACAAGATTCCTGCAGGAAAAACCCTAAGTTTTGTAGCACCAGGTGTAATTTTGAGAAGATAAAGTGAACAGTACAATATTTGTGGAGTATATGATCAGATGTGGATTTACCATACCAAGCTAAACATTGCACAGTTGCAAAAATAACAGCAGATTTGAATTGTTAGTGTAAAAACACATATTTTTAGAACCCTTCACTGAAAAAAAACTACAAATTAATTTTAACCCCATTAAACAACACGCCTTATACAGTATTCATTACCATTATGAGTATTTGTATGTCCCTACATTAAATTAATATTATTAATAATACTGTGACCGTCCATCTATTTTAATGACAATCAGAAATTTCATAAGAGCTTCCATTTTTATCTAAGCAGACTCCCAAATTGAACAAATTCAGAATTTCCAAGCTGTTAAAATAATCATTTCAATAATTCCACTTAAACATTATTAGGTAGTTATGAATGAAACAAAGCATTGTATTTACCTTACAAATTATTTTAAAACTCCAACTTGCTGTGATGTCGTTCCTGGCTGTTTATAGTGGTTGCCTAGTTACAGATGCATTTGTATTCTGACCATTTGTTGATTAGTTGATTTTCTCTCTAGCTCTGACCATTTAGAGAAAATTTGTCTTAAATGAGAGCAAAGGTGAGCAAATCTCTGATAGGCCACTCTTGGATAACAAGGGAAACCATTGCAAAATATATTTGCAAGGACCTGAAGTTTTAGTTAAGTAGATCTACATGTACATCTGATGACAGTATGAAAAAGGGCATTCTGAATGTCATGGTTCCTTCCCTCTGGAACATCATTCCCATGAGTTACAGGTAATCCTCGGGGAATGAAAGGCTGTTTAATGACTATTTGAGATTGCAAATGCATCCCAAAGTGTACTTACGACAGGGGTTCAAAATTGTGACCAAGAACAGGTCTCTGCAGTCATGTAATCTGGATTCAGTCACTTCTAAAGCAGCAGCCATTTTTTATCTTGCAACTTCTCTTTGGGACCCAGAAGTTGCCCAATTATGACAGGCAATTTCTGAAATCCATGTGGTTGTGCATGCTCCCCCCCTCCCCCCGCATACTTTTGTTTTCTTGTCATTGCTGCCTGACGGGAGGACTAGAGGGGTGTATCTCTGGTTGCTGCCTGTGTTACTTCTTTGGTTCCTGTTGCTTTGAGGTAGAGAGTACTGTAGTTGCCTTTGTAAGTACAGTATCTAAAAATGTTCTTTTTCATTATAATACTCTGCTTCAGGAGGCGTTCTAGGGTTTACTAAACCATTGATGATACTCTACTTGTTTGTAAGTACTTTACAAAGTTCTGTGCTTCTTTGTAAGTACTTTATGAAGTTTTTTTCATTACTTTGTGTTTGCCTTGAAAATTGCTTGCAGAAATACTAGCAGTGTCTACAGAAAGCACATTCAGAACTATAAAGTTTCTTTGCCTTCTACTGTACAATACTGGTTTTTTTACATGTGCTTGGAGATTGCAGAAGCCTACATAGGAGATCCAAAGAACTGAAGTTTCACAGATTGTGATCACAACATTTACCACCAGTACTATCAGGAAAATAATCTGATATCACTAGTCATTAGCAAGGCAGAAAGCAGATGGAACCAAGCCTCCCACCCAAGAGACACCCACTTTATATAGCGTGTGTGAAAAAAAGGACAAACAACCTCCAGCTTTGAAAAGAAGCCATTTTTGATGCACAGAACTCAAGCCGAATCCCTTTGTAATGGCTTATCTTGTCTGCAGTAAAATTCATTTATCAACGAAGTCCTTGGCTTCTTGTGTGCCTATTTAATTATTTCCAGGCCAACACAGAGTTAACAAGTAAGAAGGAGCTTTTCCAGTGTTCCTGCTCAACACAATTTCTTCCTTTGTATTTTTAGCCTGCTAGCTAGGGTATTTCTGAACAAGGGCCAAGTGTTCTTTCAAAAAGGCATCAAACCCACACTCAAAGTAGCCCAGTTGACAGTTTAAAAATATGGAGGGTGGCACAGGGTCAAATGGGAGTGAGTGAAAGCAAGCAGAGATGGCAGCAGTGACACCGAGCAACCAAGAAGTTCAGATGATTGACAGACCGAGAAATAGCTATGGGTTCCATGGGGAGCGCATGGGTTTGAGCAGATGTTCAGTACAGCACATCTGTAATGATAGTGCCACCAAAGTTGGAATGGTTAAAATGGCAGTTCCCCTAAGGCACATAAATACAGCAACTAGAATTCAATGCATGAACAGTTATTGCAGCTGTATCATTAGGGTTCCAAGCTTGTTGACCAGACAGAGGAAGTTGTATCACTTGTACTCAAATCCACAGAATAAATGTATCGAAAAGAATGGAAAATGCTGGTCAGAAACAGGTATTTCTACAAAGCACAAGTCTGCTCTCTCTTACTGTCAAAGTGAAGATAGAAAGATACATTAGGGAGAACACAATGAGGCAAACATCAAGATTTATGCACTTGCATCAAATGTCAGGTGGAGTTTAATCACATGATTGTGTCATCATCTTGATGAAATCTTGATTTGCTGCAGACATATAATGCCACAAGGATATGCCCTAAAAAAGCAATAATGAAGACATCTTTCTACCATGGTTAGAGTCAAATGAGGAAGATCCTAGAGAAGGCTTTTTTAAAAATTATTTTTGTTTTTAAAATAACGGGAAAAAATCCCAAAAGCAACAAGACACAAAAGTACATTTTTAAAGAAAAAAATACATGGCAAGCGCTTAAAACTAAGTTAAAAGTTATTCACTTGTTTTTTGAGCTCTAGAGAATGCTTAAGACAGTAACTCATTGCTCAGAATGCAGTTTATTCTTTTCTAACATATCTGCTACATCAAATATCAATCTGGACCACAAACACAGTGATTTAAGATAAGGAAAGAACTTTCCATAAAAATGGTCAAAAGGACTTCTATACAACTTCAGTAAGACTTTGGGGATGCTCTGTATTTTAGCCTTATTCATTTACTCACTGTAATGGAGTTGCACGGTAGGTTAAACGTTTAGATTTCTGTGCCGCCCCAAAATAAAAAAAAAACCCTAACCATTTGTTAGCTACACTTATGGTACATTAATACTGGCTGAGGAAATCTGGGAATTGAAGTCCTCACAACTTTATAAAAGTTGTTTAGGATTGTGACGCACTGGCTGAGTTGTGTTGCAAGTTCTTAACGTTTAAAAATACGGCTGGTTGGTCTATTCTAAACACACTTATCTGAGAACAATATTATTACATGTCTATATAGCAGTGGAGTCCAGGAAGTTCAGTGGAACTTAGCTGCAACAAAAATTATCTAAAACCGAAAAACAGAATATTCCCGCCGATTTGTTCGTTCTGAGCAAATTATCAATCCCGACAGGAGGAGTCAGTGCAAAGCGGAAGAAGGAAATCCAGACTCATCGCAAGGTCAGGCTGCGAAGACTCAATTGGCATCTCCTCCAAGGTTATTTGCTTTAGTCCAGAAGTGCGGAGACGTGAATTAATTTAATCGCGGTGGCAACAAGGCGTGGCCTTGCTTACGAGCAAATGTTACGGATCTGCTTGAGTCACTGCCGGCGAAGGACCTCCATTGTGAGTTTCGGAAGTTGGCGGAGCCGGTGGGCGCAGCGAGCGCGCTTTTCCGCCTCTGCTTGTGTCATGGAGCCTCGCCTCCGTTTTTCTCCGCCCGACCACAGCCTTTTCGATCAGCCGCTGGCCATCTCGGTGGAAGGGCTCCGGCCCGAGCAGGAGATCGGGCTCCGCGCGTCGCTGGAGGATGAGAGGGGGGAGCGCTTCGAGTCGCACGCCTTCTACCGAGCAGACGACGAGGGGCGCCTGGATCTGCAGCGCTCGCCGGCTCTCGAAGGCGGCACCTTCTCGGGTTTGGAGCCGATGGGCCTGCTGTGGTCTCTGCAGCCGCTAAAACCCCACAGGCGCCTGGTGAAGCACGACGTCGAGCGCCCCTTTCGCCTGGAGCTGGAGGTGTTGGAAAGGCTAGGAGCGTCTCTGCCTGGTCGCGTCCTGGCCAAGAGCTCCCACGAGCGGAGATTCCTGGGCGACGGGGTGAAGAGACTCCCGGTGCGGGAAGGGAATATCCGGGCCGTTCTTTTCCAGCCTCCCGGTAAACAGCGGGGATCTTCCCACAGAAACTACCCTATTAATACACCCAATGTTCCGCAGGATCAGCCAAGAGCGATTTAATTAATCCACTTTTGGGATTCTCCCGGTCACGCTGAATAGAGCTACGGTATAACCAGACAGGTTGAGGCTGTTCCGATTCAGTGCGTTGTTCGAAGTCAGTTTGGTTGTAGCTGACGTTTACATATTTACCCAACGTTTACCCAGCATTACAGGTCGAATCACAGCCTGTAATGCGGCCATATTTCAGCCTAGTGTGTTATATGAACTTGGGAAGTAAGATTGAATAAGGCGTAATTCCTTTTTTTAGGGTGCTTTCGAGTCAGTCTTGGTTCCAAATGACTTCCTGCAGCTTTTTTGGACACCATTTTTGGAAATGGCTTCCTTTGCTTTTTTTTTTTCTGGAGTTGAGAAGAGAGCGACTGAGCCTCTCTCAGAAACACAGTTGTCTTGTGTTCTTGAGAGAGGCTTAGAAAACAAAGTTCCTCAGTTATTACTTTGGTGCTTTCAACTTCTACAGCAAATTGGCTCTATGATTTCTGAAATTAAAATCAGTGGACTACAATACACTACCATTACATTAGCCCTGGGATCTGTAATTTAGGAACAGCCAATGCATTGTACGTACTCAGCCTTTTTGCTCACACATTTTACTAAATAATGGGTGATTTAATAGAGGTTTATAAATCACTACTAACTGGCTTTTTGTAACATGCTAAACCATAAATTCTGATTTCCAAACCACAGTGGCTAGCATTGTGACAGAATGGGCTAAACAATGAAACCATATTATCGCTTGGCCAGTTGTTTGAATCGAGCCACGTGCTCTTTTGTGCTTTATCTTTGATGCAGGACTTTGTTTAAAGTAGGCTAAGTTCTTAAGAAATCTAAGGTAACTAAAAACAACTGCTTTGTATTGCTTTGTATTTCTTGCAGGTGAAGGCCCTTTTCCAGGTATCATTCAGATACCTGGAACTGGAGGAGGGGTTCCAGAAAGTTCAGCATGTCTGATAGCAAATCATGGCTTTGCCGTATTAGCTTTGGCCTATTATGGGTATGAAGATCTTCCTAAGGACATGGAGGAATTGCGTCTGGAGTACTTTGAAGAAGCTGTCAATTATATGCTAAAACACCCAGTGGTAGGTTGTTATATTCAGGGTCTTTGCAAAAAGGTTTAGCTGAGATTTTGGTTTCTTAGCCACAGGAATGTATTCAGTCAGTTGGGGTCAGACTCAGCTCAGCAGACAAAATGACTGTCAAAGAGAAAATTGGAAGGGAGGAATACTATATATACTGCTATGTTATCCGACCTAGATGAGAGATGGGCAATTAATTTTCCCAAAGGACCACAATGAGAAATTGGGACGGTTGTGGAGGCCCACTACCAACATATCCCCCCACCCGCACCCCCTGCCCCCACTGATTGGGATAGTAAAAGGATGGGCCCTGGACTGTAAAAAGGCTACGTCCTAGATAATTCAAGCAGTAAATAATTGCATTTACAAGAAGTCCTTGTTTAGCAACTGATACATTTAGCGACCATTTGCAATTACCATGATGAGGAAAAAGTAATTAATTCCTGGCACTTATGACCTTTGCAGTTCTATAAAGCAAAGGAAAACTGAAGTAAGGTCATAAGACAACTATGGTTTCACTTAGCAATCATTTTGCTTAGCAGCCAAGTTATTCCTCCTCCTGACTTTGCAAGAGCCTTAAGACCTGGCTCTGCCGGATGGCGTGGGAGCCCAGTGGGGGAGCTTCACACTGGAGGTCATTGATTAATACTAATTAAAAGGTAATTCCCCCCCCCCCCAAATGAAATTGGCTCCCTCCTAGGCTGTCATGTTATTTTATCTGCTTTGTTCTTTTATATCTGATGATTTACCGTAAATGTTTTTCTGCTGTAAGCCACCCAGTCATTGGACATAACAAAGAAATTTCTAAATAAATAAATAGTGTTCTCTAAATCAGAACAACCCATATGACAAAACTATCCGTTATCAGTTGAAAAGAAAAATCCTGATTAGCAGCAAAATCTATCCATATATTAGCTTAGCATGTGGCTTAATATGTAAGTTTCTGATTAAACCAATAATATGCAGTGCTTAAAAAAGATCCATCTGGTTATTCATTCAGAATTGATGTATGAACATAGCCGTAGGATCAGCATGTGATTGAAACATTATTAACGGTGTGAATCTGATTTTCTTTTCCTTTCCTTCCTTCCGTTTAGGTTAAAGGTCCAGGAATTGGGGTGTTGGGACACTCCAAAGGGGGTGACCTCTGTATTTCCATGGCCTCATTTTTAAAAGGCATCACAGCAATAGTCACGATTAATGGTTCTATAGCCAATGTAGCTACAACAGTACGCTATAAGGATATCGCTATCCCACCTCTTGGCATGGATACAAATCGAGTCAAAATTGATCAGAATGGGATCGTCGACATTATTGATGTCCTGAACAACCCACTTGAGGGTCCTGACCGCCAAAGCTTAATTCCGTTGGAGAAAGCTGAGGGACGCTTTCTTTTTATTGTGGGCTTAGACGATCATAATTGGAAGAGCGAATTTTTTGCCAATGAAGCTGCCAAACGTTTACAAGCTCACGGAAAAGATAAACCTGGAATCATTTGCTATCCTGAAGCAGGCCATTACATTGAACCCCCTTATACACCACTGTGCCCTACTTCAGTCCACTTTTTGGTGGGCAAAACAGTAGTTTGGGGAGGGGAACCTAGAGCACATGCAGCAGCGCAGGTGGATGCTTGGAAGCAGATTCAAGACTTCTTTCATGAAACCCTCAATGACCACAAGAGCAAACTCTGAATGAATTGGCTACGAGCTGGGTTGCAGCATACTGGAGACGGGAGAATAATGCGGTGAATGGATATGAAATGGGGGCAAGAAGAAGAAAACTCGGAGGTGATAAATCCCATTTGAACATTGTTTATCTATGTCTTCAGATATTGTTTCTGCATTCTGAATTAAAATCCTGAAGACTAGGATCTGCATTCAGGCAAGAGCACCAGATGGTGGCCACGACAGTATGATTTTGATTAAATGGTTTATTTAAATCTACAGGGCCACCCCTCTGACCACAGCAACCCTGGGTTGTGAGCAAAGATTAAATGGAAACCGCCCCAGAAAACCTTAAGACAAGGGTCTTCAAACTTGGCAAGTTTAAGACTTGTGGACTTCAACTCCCAGAATTCCTGAGCTGACATAACTGGAGGAGGAATTCTGGGAGTTGAAGTCAAGTCTTAAAGCTGCCAAGTGTGAAGAGCCTTGCTTTAAGACATGTAATGCTAAACATACAATTCAAATACAAACACCACAGAGGAAAAGTCCTGGGATCCATTGGGGTGGGAGGGAGGAGACCGTATGTACACAATCAGGATCAAAGCCCCAGCCACCTCCTCATTCCACATGACGACTAAATTCTTCAGCTCGATTGCACCCGACCTTCAGGAATAACCAGAAGCTCCCTTTGGAGCCCCAGCTAGGCTTGAATGAGGAACAGCATTCAAGCACTGAGCCCACGTTCTCTGAGAGTGACCCGCCCCTGGGCTCTTGTGCCTGCCTGCACTTGTCAAGGCGTTACAGGTAGTCCTCAACTTTTGACCACAATTGAGACCAACATTTCTGTTGCAAGACCCGTTGTTAAATGAATTTGCCCCGTTTTATGACTTTTCATGCCATAGTTCTTAAGTGAATCACCACAGTTAATAACACGGTTGAGAAGTGAACCTGGCTTCTCCATTGACTTTTTTTTGTTAGAAGGTTGCAGAAGGTGATCACATAACCTTGGGACACTGCAGTTGTCATAAACACCTGCAAGTTGCCAAACATCCAATTGTGGATCACATGAGCATGGGTGTTGCTATGAGTGTCACAAGTGTCCAAAGTCACTTTTGAGTGTCCAAAGTCACTTTTTGAGGTGCCATTGCAACTTCAGTCACTAAACAAGTGGTTATAAGTGGAGGACTGCTTGTAATCTTCCTGCCCACCCTCAACCCCCTGAATCTTTCCCCAATAACCTCTCCACCAGCCTGAGGGCCCCCTCCTCATTTTCCAAGTCACCCACTTTTTACATATGTGGGGGGTGGGGGTTCAGTCACATGGTCACTTCGACTTCCTTTTGACAGATGCTGATTTTACTCTTCCAAATAAGGCAGAAAAATTATCTGTAGGTTCAATATATTTGAACAAATAGATATGTAGTTTTAACAATTTGGCAATTTGGGCTTTAACTTTTAATGACTGAGTTATTTTGAATTTATATAAAACCTACAGTATTAAAAATTAACTGTAAAAAAATGAAGTGAATATGGTAGAATCTATCATCTTTTCTCCAAGTTTTTATTAGAAGAAAGGCAACTTTATATGACTGAATAGTATAATATTCATCTGCAAACATAATTAAATTGCACTTTATCCAGAAGATGATGTGAATGTATTTGCTGTTTCTGTGAAGGGCCAACTGGACTAATTATTTCATTATCTTTCAGATAGTAGATAAAGGATTGACAGTATAAATTAACTCATCCTAAATTATACAACTCATGCAGAAAAATCAAACTGCCTACTACTGTGTTATGTGACTGGAGCAAGCTGTTGATTTCTAGCTGCAGTCAAATTTATAAACTTGCCTTTTTTTCAACTGCTCTAAATTTTTCTTACCTTGTTTTTAAATTGTTCTTATTTTTATCCTTATCAAATTTCATTGCCCTTGTTAAAATTAGTAAGATAACATGAATGTTGCTCCTCAGTTAAAATGAGTTTAGAAGTTCAAGAAATTCTAAACCAGTATTTGCAGATCCAAATATGTGTGATTCCGCGGAGAACACTGTTTTTGCACTGTTGGTGAAATGTTTCAAGTGAAATAAATTGCTAACGCTTGGTAAGACGTCTCATAACTCCTGAAGTCGCAAAGTTTGACTACTAGTCTGATGCATTCAAATCCGACCTTGAACTCCCCGTTTCGGAAGCCTGCTCTCTGCGATCGATTGCTACAGTCTCTCGAGCCTTAACCTGGAGTATCTTGACTTGAAAAGAAGGGCACCGAGCTTTAGTCCCGACGTTCAAGCGGCTCGTGCAAAGAGTCCGGACATTCCCGGGGAGTCCATCATGTGGCAAAGAGTGATGGGCAGAGCGTGGGAGTTCCGCCTGGTGTCTTTGCGCGGGCCGGGCCACCCTTTGGGGAAGATCTTTCCCAAAAGCTGTGACCGAAGAGGACTAATAACGATGTCGGTCACTCCGGCTGTAGGCTTGGCTGATCAGCCCGCCAAAGTGGCGATCGAAGGACTGGCGCCTTTGCAGGGAGTGACGCTCCGGGCTCTAGTAGTGAACGGGCAGGGCAGCCTCTTCGACGCCTGCGCGCATTACCAAGCGGACCAGCAGGGGAGAATAGACCTGTCCAGAGATGTTTGTAGGGGAGGGGATTATGTCGGCGTTGAGCCCATGGGGCTGTTTTGGAGCCTGTCCCCCGCTACCATGGAGAAGCCCTACCAAAGGCTGGAGCCCGAGGACGTGGAGAGTCCCGTGAAAGTGCAGATCACGGTGCATCAGGAATATAGTCAGCCCGGGGCCATCCCCGGACAGGTGCTTGCTCAAACGAGCGTGGAGAGGTGGTTCACTCTTCCTGGCGTGAGAAGGATTAGGTTGAAGGAAGGTGCGATAAGAGGCAGTTTATTCCTTCCGCCAGGTGAGTAGAGGAGGAGAAACTTACGATGATGATGGTTCAGGCTCTCCTGAGTTAGGGCATTTCCTCCATCAGTTGTCTTGACAACTGATTCTGGACTTTTGCAGTCGCAGTCGAGGCAACCAAACGGGAATAAGCAGTGGGACATTTGTGGTAAGATACAAAAAAAAAAAAAAGATAGGGTTGATGGGCAAAGCTCAGGTATCTTGAACAAATTCAAAGCAGAAATAATAATATCCTTTCCATAACACAAGGGATTAAGCATGCATTGAACTCTAACCCATGGCAGTCATACCAAAAATACTTTTAAAATGAGCTTATTTCAATATTTTAAAAAAGCAATTTAAAAAATCCTGTTAATAATGTCCAGGCCCAACACATTTGATCAATATCTACTCCTATTAGGGAACGGCCCATTTCCAGGTGTGATAGACATGTTTGGTGACGAAGGTGGGTTAATCGAATTCCGATCCAGCCTTCTGGCAACCCATGGCTTTGCAGCTCTTTCCTTGCCATATTTTAATTTTGAGGATCTCCCAAAAGCCATGGATGATTTCCATCTTGAATATTTTGAAGAGGCAGCCAGGTTTTTGTTGCGCCATCCGAAGGTGAGTGATGTGAACAAAACTTCTCTGTTTATAATACAATTTGCACCAAGGCAACATGAACAATTTTTTTCCAATGGATTCTGAATTAAAAAAATATGAGGAAACTGTAAGGAAAACTTATGCAAGTATCAACCTCTTGTTTTGCCAGGAAACATACATTACTGTTAGGTGTTAAGTTCAAGCTCCCACATATAGATACTGATAACAAAATGGTTAGTGCTTGTATAAAGGTAAAAAGATAAAGGTTTCCCATCCAGTCGTGTCTGATTCTAGGAAGCAGTGCTCATCTCCATTTCTTAGCTGAAACCATTTCTGTGGTTCTATGGCCAGCATGATTACAGGCTGAGGCACATGGAATGCTGTTACCTTCCTGCCAAACTGGTACCTATTTATCTACTTGCATTTGCATGCTCTTAAACTGCTAGGTGGACAGGACCAGCACTTGTATAGCCAGGCATTTTTCTGCACATAAAAAGAATGAGTGGGAAAACTTTACAGGAGGTAGAAAAAGTCAGAGGCCATAAAATTACTGAGAGAATTTTGGATGTAAACTTACTTAGGTTTACAAGAAACCTGGTTTCAAAATCTTCTGCATTAATATTTTGCGTATAAAAGTATGTCTAATTGTGATACTAAGCAAATAGATATCAGTTTAAAATAGGATTTCATGTACTGATTTGGTTCTCAGTGATAGTCATTTTCTATGACAAAAGACATAAATTCATTTAATATATTTTAAACATTTTTCTTCGGGAAATCTTTGTCAAAATCTGGTTTGTTTCCAAGAAAACTATGGAAACATACCTAATAATCACACCATATTACAAAGATTTAATCACACACAAGGATAGATATTCATTTTCTGAACAAAGTAGGGTTGTTCTCCTCTACCCTATCCCTGTGTTGGGGTGGTATAGGGGAGAACAACCCTACTTTCCTTATACTTTTGCTCATAAATCTTTTATTCAAAATATTTTGAAGAGAGTTTGTTTAGGTTAGCCCTAAAAATAATTTAATATATAGGAATCGCTCTACCGTTCTGAAAGCAGTATGCAGTACAAAATAGAAAAGCAACTTTTGAGGGAGCAGATAGATTATATTATTTTATTTTTATTTTGAAAGAGAGATACATTATATAGTCCTATTATAAATATACTAAGCTTTTACTCATTGAGGTTTCTTTATTCGCCAATATTTCTAACAAATGAGCCTGAGAGGCTGAATGGCACTTATTAATAATGTAATTTATATAATAAATATCTTTTTGAAAATAGTTAATAAAACATTTGCATTCTTTTTAATTCTGTTCAATAATTTAACCCATGCTATTTGATTCATGAAGGTTAAAAAACCAGGAGTTGGTGTTATTGGAACTGGGAAAGGAGGAGAACTGGCTTTGTCAATGATGACCTTCCTTCCAGAAGTAGTGGCTGCTGTCTGCATTTCTGGCTGCTGTTCGGTCACCGCCACTGCCCTTCATTATGGAAAAGAGACTCTGCCTGGGCTTTGCTTTAATATGAGCAGGATCAAGATTTTGGACAATGGAATATTTGATATTTATGAGGCTTTGGATGACCCAAGGAATCCAGCCAATTCACAGTCCCGGATCCCCATTGAAAAGGCAGAAGGCCACTTCCTTTTTGTGGTTGGAGAAGATGATCACAATTGGAAGAGCTCCTTGTATGCTGAAATAGCTACTACATGCCTACACCAGCATAAGAAGGCCAATTTTAATCTCTTGAGCTACCCTGGAGCAGGCCATCGAATTAATCCATCTTTTTCTCCTGTTTGCCTGGTAGCTTTAGACCGTGTTCTAGGGGTGCCTATTCTGAGTGGTGGAGAGAACAAAGCTCACGCCCATGCGCAGGAACATTCCTGGGGAAAGATTCTTGAGTTCCTGAATTTGCACTTGAAATGAGCAGGTGGATCGTTGAACACTGAAATTGAGAGGAAAAAGTTCCAAAGAAGACAAAGAAATAGTCAGAAACTGAGCAAGAAGGATGGGCAGAGATAACATATAAAATATATGCCTTGGGTTATATTATGAACAGAATAGATAACAAAATGAGGTTAGTTCAGATGGAGTGGTCAAAAGTATATTTTTTTCAGAAATGTAATTTAGTACTGCAGCGAAGAATCACTTTGTTTATAGTATTACAAATGTCAGTTAACTCCTAAAACAATGCAACAAATTACGCACAGCCAACAGCACCAAGTGTGGCTTCTGCCATTTTGAGATCATATATCCAAAATATAACCATTTCCTGCCGTCTGGCAATTTTATGTTTTTGGAATATAACTTCAGCACACATAGCAAGTACTGTATTGTTACTTGAATAGAGAACACAAATGAGAGGTGGATATTATAATTTACAATGCTATATGAAGTTGCCTGCAAAGGGTATTAGCCAATTTATTATGAAAGATGACAGGTTTTCTTTAGCTGGTAATCAAATTATACTGACTTTTACAACACAGATACCTTTTTTCATAAGATACCAAGACAGATTACAGCTTATATAAGTCTAGCAAAAATCAACCTTGCCAAAAGTTCCAAAATCTTTAGTTGGAATCAGATTTTTAAAAAACAACATAATAACAATGCAATTTTAACTAAAATGTACTTCCAAAATATACAAACTATCCCATTAAAATGTTTAGAGTATGTCAGTTTTTAAGGCTTGCTCACTATAGGAATGCTCTTATCAACAATCATAGTGACAAAAATATTTTATCTGCTCTGCATATTGATACCACCTAAATTGACATTTATAATGGTTCTAAGAATAAATTGTCAAACATTTAATGTTTAGTATGAAGTATTACTAAAACTCTTATTTAAAGTGTATTTTATTGCAATTTCTCAAGCACTTACCTACATATTACTAAAATTCTCTTGTTTGTCTGTATCCAGTACCTCGATGAAACTGCACTGTAGGGCAACAGTTTTTGAACTAACATTTTGAACCTCAAATGAGCTAATTTACCGAATGCATCCAAAATCTAGAACCTATGACTCCTGTGGAATTGAAATTTGACAAATTCCATAAAACATTTTATGACTTAATACAAAATATCATAAAACATTTCAAGTGGGCAGTTCCTAATGTTTGACTGTGCTATATAGTTCAACATGAGCTACTTTTAAGACAGATACATCTCTGAATATCTCCCTGAATTTCTAAGAATTTTTCCATTGAAGGCTATACATTAGAAACTCTGCCATTAAAGTATCTGGTAAGGAAATATCACTGAAACAATGACATGATGGTTCACAGCTTGTCTAGTACTTTCTAAAATTACACCTAAGTTCAATAACTTTATGCACAAACATACTTGCTTTTCTACTGGGGGGAAAACATCTAAAATTAAACCAACAATTCTTCCAAAGTAAAATGGGTACAATAATAGTGTCACCAGGAATAAATTATATGTAGCAATATGTCTTATCCCCAAGCTCAGAAAACAAAACCATTCACACAGTAGTTAACAATGGCAAAGAAATTGGTATTAGTGAGTTCAAACAGGCATACACAACATTTTATTCCAGTTTAGGACTCTGGAAATTGAACAAAACTTTGATGTGCTGAAATTCAGTAGTAGTGGTTCAACTTAAAAGCTACCTCAGTCAACTACAGGTGAAATTCAAAAAATTAGAATATTGTGCAAAAGTTCATTTATATCAGTAATGCAACTTAAAAGAAGAAACTAATATAGGAGATAGACTCATTACATGCAAAGCAAGATAGTTCAAGCCGTGATTTGTCATAATTGAGATGATTATGGCTTACAGCTCATGAAAACCACAAATCCACAATCTCAGAAAATTAGAATCTTGTGAAAAGGTTCAATATTCTAGGCTCAAAGTGTCCCACTCTAATCAGCTAATTAAGCCATAACACCTGCAAAGGGTTCCTGAGCCTTTAAATGGTCTCTCAGTCTGGTTCAGTAGGAATCACAATCATGGGAAAGACTGCTGACCTGACAGTTGTGCAGAAAACCATCACTGACACCCTCCATAAGGAGGGAAAGCCTCAAAAGGTAATTGCAAAAGAAGTTGGATGTTCCCAAAGTGCTGTATCAAAGCATATTAACAGAAAGTTATGTGGAAGGGAAAAATGGAAGAAAAAGGTGCACAAGCAGCAGGGATGACCCAGCCTGGAGAGGATTGTCAGGAAAAGGCCATTCAAAAGTGTTGGGGACTTTGACAAGGAGTGGACTGAGGCTGGAGTCAGTGCACCACACACAGACGGATCCTGGACATGGGCTTCAAATGTATTCCTCTTGTCAAGCTGCTCCTGAACAACAAACAATGTCAGAAGTGCCTTACCTGGGCTAAAGAAAAACAGACCTGTCCTCTTTTCTGATGAGAGCAACTTTTGCATCTCATTTGGAAACAAAGGACCCAGAGTCTGAAGGAAGAATGGAGAGGCACACACTGCAAGATGCTTGAAGTCCAGTGTGAAGTTTCCACAGTCTGTGTTGATTTGGGGAGCCATGTTATCTGCTGGTGTTTGTCCACTGTGCTTCATTAAGTCCAGGGTCAATGCAGCCATCTACCAGGAGATTTTGGAGCACTTCATGCTTCCTTCTGCAGACAAGCTTTATGGGGATGCTGACTTCATTTTCCAGTAGGACTTGGCACCTGCCCACACTGCCAAAAGCACCAAAACCTGGTTCAATGACTGTGGGATTACTGTGCTTGATTGGCCAGCAAACTCGCCTGACCTGAACTCCATAGAGAATCTATGGGGCATTACCAAGAGAAAGATAAGATACATGAGACCGAACAATGCAGAAGAGCTGAAGGCCCCTATTGAAGCATCCTGGTCTTCCATAACACCTCAGCAGTGCCACAGGCTGATAGCTTCCATGCCACGATGCATTGAGGCAGTAATTGCTGTAAAAGGGGCCCAAACCAAGTACTGAGTACATATGCATGCTTACCCTTTTCAGAGGTCTGATATTGTTCTATGTACAATCCTTGTTTTATAGATTGCATGTAATATTCTAATTTTCTGAGATTGTGGATTTGGGGTTTTCATGAGCTGTAAGCCATAATCATCTCAATTATGACAATCACGGCTTGAACTATCTTGCCTTGCATGTAATGAGTCTATCTCATATATTAGTTTCACCTTTTAAGTTGCATTGCTGAAATAAATGATTTTTTGCATGATATTCTAATTTCTCGAGTTTCACCTGTATGTGCTGCACTGCATATTAAAACAATGAAAAAAGTAGGAAAAAGTATTACAAGTATTTCTTGCTGTATCAGGAAAAAGCAAGAACTAAAAAAATCCCAATATCAGTAGGACATCCTGAAAGACCTACCTTTAAAGGGCCTTTAATGTTATTTAATATATCTAATGTATCTGATACTGATTAATTTATCAGGTTAATTGGAAAGTGGTTCAGAAAAGTTTTGTCACAATATGCCAATACTACTGTTTTTCTTTGCATCTGGAATAGTCTGATACAACTTCTGATCTGAAATATATTTTTAGCCAGGAAATGTTTCTTCAGCATTTTTGCAAATCAGGTGAAACACTATTTACATTCAAAAGCTTGATCCTTAAAAAAAAAAAAATCTTTGCTTTTACTTTTGGGGAAATATGTGACAGCATCAGATCACTAAAAAGCACTGAATTTCACTCCTCTGTAAACAAATGTTACCCTGACCGCTCTGATGAAAGCGGAAATATAATCTGACAACAAACAAATATTCAATGAATTAAGGAGATCATATCTGGACTATAAAAATCCGGACGATCGTGGCATCAGAGAACTCCTCCGGATTTCTGAATCCCAATCATGACATGCCTCGACAATTTTTGTCCTTTCTTCCCTTGATAACGACAGTCACTTTCTGCTATTGCTTATTTAGGGCTTCCACTCACCTACTCACGCATGCGCACAGATACGCTCACGCATACGTCTCATAAAAAAAAAAAAGTAAACCGAATTGCTGCGGCCAACGTGGTTCAACGCCTCGAAATTCCGCTTGTACGGGACGCACAGCGCCCCCTCCCTCCCGCTGAAAAAAACAACAGCGGAAATCAACGCGCTTCCCCCTGCCTCTAGGGGGAGACTACATGAATGAAAAACCCCTCTATTTTCAGAGGGATCTCTATGATCCTGTTGTTGACTTTGCTTTTTTGCTCACGTGCCTGCTTCCCCTTTCCCCCCCCCCCGCAGCTTTCAGATGAGCATGCGCGCGGGTTTCGCTTGCCATAGCAACCAGGGCTGGAGACGGTAGCAACTGGAATCCTAACAATGGTGAGTTCCTTGGCGGGCTACCGGGGGAAGATGAGGCGCCCGGGGGAAGATGAGGCGGAGGGAGGGGATTCTCCTTTGGGAAGGGGAGTTGGGGGTCCCGCGTTGGCTGGCTGGCTGGCTGGCTGGAGGTAAGTAGTAGCTGTTAATACTAGTGGCGATGGCTGATGGAGGGAAGGGAACAATAGCAACGGGAATGTTCTGACAAGAGAGGGGGAGCTTTGGGAAGGAAGGAAGGAAGGAAGGAAGTCACTGAAGCAACAGGTTTCAAACATCGCTGGAGAAACCAAAGAGGCCTGTGAGAAAGGAAAGAAGGAAAGAAATAAAATTCGCTGGAGCAACAGGTTTCGGACATTGCTGGAAAGAGGAGATCTCTTGCGGGAAATGAGGGACCAAAGAGGCCTGTGAGAAGTCGGGTTGTGGTGTGGGAGGTACTGGACCCACTGGAGATTGTGAGTGCTTTAAAAAGTTTTAGAGGGAAGATGTCCCAGCAGCGATACGGGGTACAGTAGAGGAGCAAATGACCGCCATCAGTCATGTGAGTTGAAATCTCAAATAATCTCGCTTTGTCCGTGCAATCTTCCCCCTTTACATCTGACACGTACAATGATTTCCTCTGGAAAATGGTGTGAGGGATTACAAAGAGAGATGGGGTGTGTGTTAGAGACTCCTAAGTATACAGTGGAGCATAATGCTTGATTAGATAGTATACCCAACTTAGATCTCCATCAAAGAGCAAAAAACAAAAAAACCCTTGTGAGAACTGAAAACTGTCAACAAACAAGAGAGGAACTGAACCTTTTTTTTAGTGAAATTAGTAAAAAAAAAAAAAAGCCAGGTACTTCAAGAGTTGTGCAATTGTTCCATCAGCAACAGCAAATTCCCCTTAGAACCCACTGATGATGGAAAGTGGGAAAAGATTTGCTGATTTCTATCTCCCACTTCAGCCTCCTGCACCACTTTCTCCACTGTTCAAATGGTCTGCTAACTGTAGGAAGTCTAAAAACAAAAATCCAAATAAGACTGCTTTTATGGAATCCCAGCTAGTAGGTATGTTACAATAAGTATAATAGGTCAGTGATAGGCAGAAGGCACCTTAGGTTGACTCGCGGACACCTGCAGCAAAGATTTTGACCTATCACTTGTTAAGCAAAACATAATACAGCTATAAAGAAGGGATTTTGAGCATTAGGGATAAATTGTTATGTGGAAGGCCTTTGCATTTCATTTCTGTTTGAAAAAAATTCTGAGCTCAGAATTCTTTTAATTGGAAATGTTCATCTTTTGCACAAAGTAGGTAATTAATTTTTGAGTTCTGA